TAGTTTAATATATTAAAAACTGTCAAAACTTCCGGTGATGTACATCAAGTCAATCAAAAATTCGTGCATTTGGAATTTAATTCGTGCGGTTAGAATTACCCATATTTTATTTGTAGCTGTCTAGTCTATATATCGAATTCAGTGAGATGTAAAGTGGTATGTTTTCTGTTGATTTTTTTTTTTTTTTTTTTTTTTTTTTTTTTTTGGATGCTTGACTTTGCAAAGAAAGAATGATTGGAGTTGATGAAAGTGTGTTGATTTTTTTTTGCTTGATCACTCATGTTTGCTACAACTTTGATTCAAACAAATTGAAATTTAATATTAGTTGGATTTGGAAATTTCAAATGTTTATTTTTTGTTACATGGTGTGTACCCATAAGGCAATCGCCTTCGATGAACCGTTTATTACAGGGTCAATCAAATAACCCTGTTTGCCTTAAGGATATATCTTTCTTAAAAAGGTTACATTAGGATGTAAAATTCATGTCCATTGTTCTTGCCCCTATTATGTAGAATGTGTTGAATATGGTTGCTATTGCCAATTATATTCTAATTGGTTTTGGTTATTTTGAGCCTTTGTATCAATGTTACAGATAGGTTCTTTGATTTTTCAATACATGTACTTTTTATTAATTGCAATGTAAAATACCGAGCATTTGAAAACTTAAAGACGACAACCCTAAAGCTCTATTTTGTGGACTGGTATCCAACCACTATTGAACCGAGATTCCCGAATACCGAATTAGGTAGAAAGTTGATATAGAGTAAACATGACAATCCGTGCTTATGAGTCATGTAAGCCGGTCAGACACAAATTTACACGATACAAATTTGTCAAAAACAAAAATGACACAAATTATAAAATGTGTATTGGGTATCAAACAAGAACACGACACATTACACCAGGGGCGGTCAACCATTTTGGAGGCTCTAAGCGAACCAAAATTTTGGGACCCTTTCTACTCACCTTATATTGCAATAAAAGTTGTCCTAATCGTAACTTTGTAATCTCTTTGACTCTTCAACGAGGACCTAAACACAATCAATATATTCACATTATTACCTTAAACTAAAAGTTAGCATCTTCCAATTTATAACACCTAATTAAATAATTATGTACATTAACTTATGTTCATTTTTTTTAAATATGTATTTCGAGTTACTTAACTTTTAATTAGAATATCAGTTACAATTAACGTACCTAGGTAATAATGCTTATAATACTTAAAACCTTTAAAAAACCGAAATGACTTATAAATTTTAATAGTCCAAAGCCACCCATTTTGCAAATCCAGTCCATAGTCGCACTTTATATACATCTCCTAATTACTTTGCACTTTATACACATCTCCTTTATAGGCTACTGTACTTGGTGAAACAAAATAAAAGAAAAGAAACAATATATAGTCATGGGATTGCTTTGCTTGCTGAGAGGAAGTGCCAAAATTATAAGAAGAAAAGAAAATATTATCAAGGCACGTAGGAAGGAGGGGGTCCATCTTGATGTATTGTTGATTTATATAAGGATAAAAGAAGGCATAAAAAACAAGATATTAAAGAAAGCATATCATCATATGGAAGGATATAGAATGGTAGAAAAACAAAAACAATATTAAGTTGGCTTAGATCACCTTGCATAAGTCAAAGCAAAATTACATGGTTTGTTTTCGGTTTTTCTTACCCATTAAGGGCTATATGCAAAAACCGGGGTTCTGTAGTCAATTGACAATGAATAATTTAAAAAAATTAACTCTAATATGCTATTAACCCTAATAGATAATCAGTCCATATTAGAAACTGATATACATATCAAACATAAGCCTAATAGACTAATCAAGAAAGAATCAACAATGGAGAATAAGAGGAAGAAGAACATACTGTTTCAAATTTTAGTTCTTGTCTTCTTGATAGCCTTGAAGTTTTCAGTTTTGACTTTCAATTTTGAACAATCAACAATGGAGAATCAAAGGAAGAAGAACATGATCGAGGATTGACTAATCAAGAATGGATTAATATTCAATCGGGATTGGTTTCTGCTGAGAATAGAGAATCAAAGAATGAGAAGGGAGAAGAACTCAGGCTGATGATTTTTATGGCATGCGCTAATGGAGATAGAAGAATTGACTAATCGAGATTTGATTAATTGGGTTAAAGGGGACCCTTAGAATTGGGGGCCCTAAGCAAGGGCTTAGTAAACTTAAAGGTAAGGTTAGCCCTGCATTACACGAATAGGCACGTTTTAACCATTTTACACGAAAACACATGAATTTACACAGATTTAATTCATATCTATGAGTGTTTATATCTATTGATACGTGTTTCTATGTGTCTATGTGTCGCATGTTTATACGTGTCAACACGAATTTAATTCGCATCTATACGTGTTTAAACATGTAAATTTGTGTTTGACATAGGGACGGAGCCAGAATTTAATAAAGGGGGCTGACGTCGTAAAAATATATTCAAGTATATCTTATATCAAAATAATGTAAAAGAGTCTACAATCTTGAAAGAGAAAATGACTATAAATAATTCCTTTAAGCAGAAGTTATACCGATCATTGCAAAAATGACATTTCAAAAATTTTCAACTGACAGTAAACATTGATTTATAATTCTCCATTAACATGTTAATATTAAAAATTATCTTAATTATTGATACATATGTTTCATTAAATGAATTGTACTCGTGATATACTCTATCATTATCGTTATAAGAAACAAAATATCATTTATAATAATATAGTTAATGGAAATTAAAAAATTATTGTATATACAAGAAAATTAAAAAACATATCTTGTTCTTAAATGGAGAAGATATTGTAGTACAATAGGCAAGTAGCGACAAATAAAAAAGTTGGCGTTTTTTTTTCAGTTTGGAAATTAGAGCGTTGGTAATTTGAGTAATAAATAATTTAATTAAATCATAGGAGGGGGATGGGCTATAATTATACATATGAAATGCGCTTATCTAATTAGTACACTAAGAATGTTGGGGGTGGCTGGGCATCCGGCTGCCCCTATAGTAACTCCGCCACTGGTTTGATACGCGTAAGACACAAAACACGAATTTAAAATTTGTATCAACACAAATAGACACGAAACACCAATTTCTAAAACACATACATGGAAAAATCGTATCATATATCAAATTATCGGGTCTAATACCGAACACCGAACCGAATTAACATTACCGATACCTAGAATGGTATCGGTTTTCAGTACTATCACCGATGTGACGCTACTGAATCCCAAATTTTATGATGTTAGAGTACAGAGTAACGTTCTATATTAGCATAAACGGTGCCGGTTTGGTACCGGTTCCTGATTTGGGGTCTGGAATTTTGGTACTTTTGCTCATCCTTAGCTTCAACCCATGTTGCTTGAAACCCATCTTTAGCGACAGCCAAACAGATATCCAGTTTCACATCCCATTAGGTACGTGGCCCACTGTATGATGGACAGCCCAATACCTCGGCTTAATGCATCGGAAAGAATGTGTCATCAACAATCAACAGTAGTGGGAGCAACTACGTCAACAACCACTTTTGGCAATGATGCTCCCAATGATGGGTAGGAGTTTCTTCCGTCGATCACTTTTTTTATTTTTTTTGTCAATTTTTAATTTCAAAATAGGTTTTCTCCCTAATTTTTGACAAGATGAATTTATGATTGCTCATTAACTGATTTTAGGATAAGGCTTAGGATTAGGGATGTCAAAAATCCCCGTAGGACCCTGACTTTGCAGGACCCCGTTTCCATACGGGAGTATTTTTACAATTTTTTCCGCGTTTTAGGGCGACTTGGGGGCGGGTTTTATTCCTGTTTAGTTTTTGGAGTCGAGGGGCGGGGGGCAGGGTGTTCCGTCCCGAATACCTCGTGTGGGCCCCAAAATAATTACCTTATATTTAACTATTTTATATATAAAATTAAATATTAAACTTAAAGGAGTGATTGTGTAATATATGTTTTGTATTTGAATAATTAGTGTAATATGTAAAACTAAATGAAATAAACGAGTTAAAAATACGGTAAATAACGTTAAACAGGGGATTTTAGGTCAAACGAGGTTAACGGGGAATTCGGGGGAAACAGGGGTTGGAGACACTTGCAAGTTATTAATGTTTTGAGAAAGAAAATAAAACATTAAAATATTTTTTTTTGTTTTTTTTTTAAATTAGAACTATTTACTTGTTAAAGTTTGGTAAATCTAAAATTGGTTTTAAATTTAATTTTTGTATTTAAAATTAGGTTTAACAAAAAGACACAAATTGTTTAAAACTGGTTCTAAAAAAGTGTTTATGGATATTCTATATGCATATAAACATACCAATTGGACACAGATTTTGTCTACAATCCAATAAAAGATCTAGTGTTATGAGGAGACACTTGCAAGTTATTTATTTGTAATGCAAAAGGTTTTACTATGACTATATATTATTTTTTTATAAAGTTGTCTATTATTCTTAATTATGTAAATTGATAAATATTTCAGAAATCGGTCGAATTTCTTCAAAATTACCTTCCCTTCCTTCGCAACATTTGATCATTTACTTATCCTAAACACAAATTTAAGCTTCCAAAAACAAAACATTAAAGAATTTTCCCCCACCCCTTTTCCCTCTCACAGGTTTTTAGTTCAAAACAATAAATGGAAAAAAGTTTGGAGTTAAGGTCACTAAAACAAGTTTTGGCATATTCTGATATTCATATCCCACCCTGCATTCTAACTTCTGTATTTATGCCTCGTTATAGATTTACCAGTTTCATATGACAAAATGCTAGTATAATCTAAAAAAAATACAATATTATTGACTAATAAAAAAACTAATACCTCTTTCGAAAAAAAAAACTAATACATAAGTTGGTAGGTTGCCATTTTTCTAAACATAACCATAAATTTCATGATAACTCTTTAACAAAAGTGAAATATTTTTTGTGTTTGTCTCTTTATGTGTTCTTCCCTTGGCAATCATCCACATCATGTCATATAAATTAACTTTAAGTTCTGAAAACCAAACATCAGGAAGCAAAAACTTAATAAAAAATAGATCTTTGTATTTAATTAAATATATTTTTCATGTATAATATATAATTTTTTTTTACCGTATTGTTATGCCTTTTCTATTAGTTAGAATTTCCGGAAGTCTTCCGCTCAAATTGTTGTTATTTAAATATCTGTTACATAAAATAAAATAGTAAACTATATTATCACTCCTAAAAAAGTTCACTTACAATTCAATTTCTTGTAATATTTTTGGTTCATGATATATATAAAATGAATGGAACAAGAACAAAAAAAAAATGTTATGAGAGCCTCAAATTCTCAGCAAAATTGGAACGAAAAACTTATTGGGATCAAAATTGAAAAAAAAAAAAAAAAAAAACAAATATATGTAAAATTGTTTAAAAATAGCAAAACAACTTACAGTTCACGAAGGTTTGGAAGCGTGCCTAGCGAATCTGGAAATGGCCCCTCAAATTCGTTTTCATCTAGATGTCTTTTTACCATATAAAACAAATAATAAAATGCTTCAAGAATTTATAAAAAAAAAACAAATATAAATTGAAGAAAAAAAAAATAAATGTGGAACTTACAAAACTTCCAAGGCTTTCAATGGACTCATATCAGGGATAGGACCCGTAAGCTTGTTCATGCTTAGCCGACTGCAGATATTATTACACAAATATTAAAAAAAAATTAGAATAATTCTTTTTTGTAAAATGACAGTGTAGTTATTTCGCGATAAACATAAAAAAAAAAAAATATCATTTGCTGATATAAAAGACTACTTACAGTTCTTTTAAAGCAGTTAATCTGACAATTTCTTTAGATAATATTCCTGCTAACGAGAGTCCAGTTAAGTTCCTAATCACATAGTAAAAAATAATAAAATTTAAACCCATGAAACCATCAAGATATATGTAAATTGGACCAAAAGCATGACAAAATGCTGTTTAAGGGAAACAAAATATAATATACAAAACTATCGGGCCATATCTGTAAATACAAAATAAACCAAAGGATGAAAAGTGTAATTTACCAAATACTTACAAACTGATAACTCGGATTCGTGACCCTTCAGAACAGCCGATACCAGACCATGGATGTTCTTTAGGCAAGCACGGATCGCCATTCCAGTCATCCGGTGGGTTCTTTAAGCTTTGCTTCAACATCCGCAATGCCATCGCTACAAACAAACAAATTCATATTTTGAATTCGTAATTGATAGTTTCGTTTGGAAAATTTATCAAAAAAGTTGTTTGTTTCAGAAGAATGTAAGAATCACCATGGTACCATCTCTACCAAGAGTAGCTCCACCGAGAGGCAAAATCTGATAGATCTCGCCGGCGTTAATCAAAGGTCCGATCGGCATGTCACTCCTCGGAGTTAGAACGATCTCTGTGGTACCGGAGAGAGGCCATTCTGTGCCGTAAACCGTCACGCCTCTGGTGGTAACATTTAGATCTTGATAGAAAGTTTCGCCGTCGATGGAAACGGTGAATACTCTCCAACTATAAGGACTTATACTTCGATTGTCTTGGAAATACAACGCGACGTAGTACCGGTTGCTCGGAAGGGCACACGGCGGCCATTGTAAAGTCAGATTCCTACCTCTGCTCGTCGTTGACGCCGAGAGGAATACCTTCACCGGTGGCCGGTTCCAAAATTCCGATGATGTTACGTTCGCTTGCGATTGTACTGTAGGGTTTCCGTCAATGAACGGTTGCCAGTATCGATTGAATGGATCATCTGGAAAACTAGTTCATTTGTTCACGAATTCCTCAATCAGAATTTATCGATCTAGGGTTTTTTTTTTATTTGATTAAAAAAGGGGACATGTTTTGAATCTGTTCATACCGTATAAAATCTCCATCGGAGGCGAAGTTCGTCCGAGCAACCGTGATCAATCCATACTTTTCAAAATCCGTTGAGTTATATAAAGATGGATCGAGATTTATCAACTCTAACAACGAAATAAAAGGACTCGACGGAGGTTTGGTGTGCTCATTCGACGCCAAACACACGCTAATCGTTTTCGCATTTGCAGTCACGATTATCTCGTAATACGAGCTGAGTCCGTTTTTGTAATCCTCCGTCGTATTAACAGTGCTCCACTTAGTACCATCGATAATCTGATCAAAAATCGGTGGCACAATTCCGCCATCGAATCCACCATAGAAGTAGGTGGTACGGATGAGGAATTTCCCGCCCTTGGTGACCGGAAACTGATAGCAGTGTTTGCCTGGACCGGAGGGGAAGTAACGTAGGGTGGTGAGTACGGGTAGAATATCGGTCCTGTTCAAGGTTGTTAGGTTTCCGGCGACGGCGTAGCCTTCGTCCCTTAAGTATGTTATACCTTCTTGTTTAATGTCGTTTCTGGAACCGCAATTGATGAGGTAACCACGAGGAGAAGAGAAAGGAGGGCCGGCGGCGGAGGAGAAGAAGGGGATGATATGAAGCCATAGAAGGAAGAAGACGGGATGAACATGGTGGCGATGGTGGAGATGCATTAATTTTGAATTCGTTTATGAAGTTTTCTTCTTCTTGGTGTTGGAGAGATGGGGCGGGAGGAATACGTGGGAGAAGAGTGGCTGGCCGTTTACATACGATTTATGAAAATAAATGATTGAGTAAATTACATTTTTGGTCGTTGAACTTAGTTGACTTTGCAGTTTTAATCCAACAAAATGTTTCTTACAAATTTGGTTTTCGTTTTAGGTTTTTGTAAGTTGTAACCTTTTTAGTTTTTATCATAAAATAACTATATTTTACTTTATATATTTTTATGGATATAGTTGTTGTATATTTTAAATTTATATTATTATTTTATTAGTTTGCCTTTTTTTTTGTTACCCTTTCTATCGTATGAAACTTCACCGCTGATCACCATCGGACATCCTTACGCTACCCGATATGGAACAACTTTCACACACAAAAGCTATTGTGGAGGGGGGTTTCCACCGATGAACACCTCTCCAAGTTATAGTATGTATCTTATGAAGTGGGGGGTTGTCATGAATCCTCACAAGAGGCTTGTCTCTATCTCTTTCTTTCTCTCTTTTCTTAACTAGTGAACACCATTTCCACAACCATGTGAAATGGTTTGATGACGAAGTTGCTTGTATTCCATACGCGAGGATAACCCATATCCTTATAGCAACCATCTCCCTTTATCAACCCTGTCCCTTTTATTTTGTTTCTCTAGTCACCTACTCATTCCCTTCCCTATAAATGTAACTCCCTCAAAACAAAATTCAAAATCCAAACAAGATATAGTTACAATTCCATATGTAATTACAACAGATTTCCTGACATAACATAGATAGTATAAGGGAAAATGTAATGCCTGCAGATTCGGGCTACTCAATTTACAGACAATAAACGTTAAAAATGACTTTTTGATAGAAGATCATTTAGAGTAAATAATCGTAACCAAAGTTATAGTATATGTCACAAGGATTCAGTACATATAAAAAACGCTGAAATCTAACTTATAACGAAGAATTTATAACCCGTCGAAGTTTTGCGATTAAACCGACACGACTCTGCATAACGTCAAAAGTGATTTTTTGACGAAATACTTTTTAGCCATAGAAATTTAAACGAAAGTCGTAGTAGACGTTAAACCGAAAACGTGCATATAGAAAATGTCCAGATCTGACTTCGTTTGAGGAAGTTGTGATTTTTCTAAGAATTAGCATAACAGTATACAACCCGAAAATCGAATTTTAGATTGATCGATTTTTAGCCGACACAACCTAAATAAGAATTGAAGATCTCGTTAATAGGAGCTCAAGGATATAAAGACATTCGAAAACGGACGTCGGATATGAATTTTTAACGGACTTTAACTGTCTAAGCCTATTAAAATATAACTTTAAAAATCAACTCAAAATTAGTCGACGGAGTCTAAACGAAAGTTGTAGATCACATCGCTACCTACGTGTGGATATAAAGAACATAAGAAACGGAGCTCGTATGATAAAGTTACGGATTTTAGAAGATAATCAATTTTTGGGATTAATCAGCGAGTGACACGTGGCAAGATCTAGGCCACACCTCGTTCCCCAGGACTTTGCACAAGATCGCGACATGTGGAATGAGTACGCCCAACGTAGCTCAGAGTATGCCCAGCGTACTGAGTACGCCCAACATACTCTTCGCGTATGCCCTGCGTACGAAGTTGCTGGAGCCTATAAATAGAAGACGTTTTTCACTCTTTTTCCCACACCTCTTCAAACAGTTCTCTCCCAAACCTCCCAAGGTCTTAAGACCTTTTCTCTAGCCTTCCCTAGGAGTTAGTAGTGAGTTCCAGAGCGCCAGAAGGCCCCGAAAAGAAGAGCTTTCGGCTCAAAATTTCTGCCCGCGCAGAGCCCGGTTTCTCGCTAAACCGCATGTAAGTTGAGTTATGCTTACCGTACTTTAAGTATAACTTATGTTTAAGTTCATTATCTTTATTATGAACCTTTAAACAAGATTTATCACTAATTGAAAGTCGTTATACTGATTGATCTAATTACGAGAGAGGTGTCTAGAACGGTCACGTTCGCTTGGTTATTGGATTTCAGAAAAGCTATATGCCGAAATGGTCATGCCTCCCAACTGTCATACCTGGATGATCCTTACTTGATAGATCATGAAGTAAACTTTAAATAAATGATGAATCTAGACTAATAATTAGTTGCAATAAAAAAATAAACTAAGGCGTAATGATAACGACACTAGGTTACATCAAAGGAAAAGACAATTGCTAGAAGCGAAGCGTTGCCCGAATTTCGAGTCATCACTTAAACAAGTGAGTGCATAGTTACTTTCATCTTACACATAGATATGAAGTATTTAATATTAATACATGCTATATGTGCTTATTATCTGTGTTCCTGATATCTATGCTAGATGAACGATTTATACATGTTTTACTTGATTTAAACTGTATATGTATTTTTATACCTATAAATATATTGGGTAAAGATGGGTAGATGAAAGATGATATGGATGATGAGAGATGAAAGATGAAATAAATGATGAGAGGTGAAAGATGATGAGAAGCCTTGACTTTAAAGCTGATACGGTCATCTAGCAGAGTATAGATGACAACCACAGACTATTCTAGACAGTCCAGTGGAACGCTAGCAGGGTCGCAACCTGTAGGTGTTTTTAAACTACGTGTTCACCAGATGTACTCTAAAAAAACTTGACAGTTGTGGACTTAGTGCCTTATGAATGAACATTGACAGATATGGACTTGGTGCCTAATGGATAGCATGGGCGGCTGTGCTGAACAGATAACATCGGCATCTATGGACTTAGTTCCTGTTAGATAAACCCTGGCAGCGATGGACTTCGTGCCTACTCCTTAGGAATGAATAAATGAAGAATAGATAATTCGTAGGGAAGATATTTAAGGATAAAGAAGATAATGGGGATGAGAAATTGGGTTAATTGTTTGATGATTAAACATAATAGTTATATTATTGTGGGTTGAAAACCCTATATGCTCACCAGGTTTTCCAACCTGACCCACTCAGTTTATTGTATCACATGTAGCGGTATGAAAGATACATTATGCTGAGAGATTCAAGGAGTATTAGGCCACTAGTGTAATTACTTTAAGGCTTGTAATATTTCATTATGATTATGTTTCTATATTAACGACGACATCTCAATGTTTTAATATAAATAAAATACATTTATTCGGAAATGCTTTGATAATATCTTTATCATGTTTTATGTGAACAAATTCCGCAATATTATTCTTCAAAAAGGATACTATGATTTTAAAAATAAGCATAAACAAATCGGTATTTTCTGGCCGTGAAAACGGGGATGTTACAGAAAAGAGTTGGCCTAATGAGTACTTTCCATTCTATCTTAATGAATAGGCAAAATTTTTACATATTTATCTAGTACTAATACATGTCAATATATTCGTACACCCTAAAATCATAATTCTTCATAAGCTTCTAAATATATTTTAACTAGGCGTAACCTCGCGCGTTGCGCAAGAATGCATTTAAGTGGTTAAAATATTTATGGAAGAAAATAGAAGTATGTTGAAATTTACGTTTTTAGTTATGTTTTGGGCATTAACCGAATTATCAAATAACATAAAAATCCATCAACTTATATTTGGATACTATCTAATATAGTCCATATCTTATAAACTTTACTTTTACTTTTATAATATCCAATATATATTATAAGTTTTTGTATAACATTAATATAATCTACTTTTCTTATGTCCGATTCCGATAATATTTTTGGATAAATAAAATAAGAAATAAGTTGTTTTGAATGAGCTATTAATAAACAATATTGAACTAATAAACTTTGTATTACATTATTTATATTACTGTAGGTTTGTCCAAGGACGGTGTTAGCCTCGTTCCGAATGCCATCGGTACCTTGACTCGTGAATCTCCTACCATTCCGAATTTCGCAGTTAACGACTTGGTGTAGGCTTCCTAGTTGATAAAAATCCCTTCCGAACTCTGTCTAATATTAAAACCAAGGACAAAATTAATAGGACCCATTGAGGTCATCTCAAATTTAGTCTCCATCAACTTTTGGAATTCAACAATCTATCTAGGATTGGTTGATCCGAAAATGATATCATCAACATAGATTTGGACGATCATCAGATGGTCACCATCTTTTTTACGAAAGAAGGTTGGGTCGACCGAGCCTTGTTTAAACTTTGATTGTTTTAGGAATCGGGTAAAGGTTTCATACCATGCTTGAGGAGCTTGTTTTAAACCGTACACAACCTTATCCAAAATGTAGCAATGGTTTGGATATTTCTCTTTCACAAAACCTGGTGGTTGCTCTATGTAGACCGTTTCCTCTAACTCACCATTCAAAAAAGCACATTTGACATCCATCAGATAGACTGCATAAACGGGGTAAATACGAACAGATTCAAGCCTTGCAACCGGTGTGAATGTCTCTTCGTAGTCTATGCCTTCTTCCTGGAAGTATCCTTTTACAACCAACCTAGCTTTGTTACGGATAACATTCCCTTCCTTGTCAAGCTTGTTCCGAAACACCCATTTTAAACTGACCACAGAAGCATCCTTCAGAGTTGGAATCAATCTCTAAACTTTGTTTCGTTCGAATTCATAAGCTCTTCCTACATAGCTTGCACCCAATCAGAGTGATAAATAGCAACTTTTACAGTCTTGGGCTCAATTTTGGAGATAAACGAATTAAACATGCAAAATTCCATCTTTGAAAGTAATGCAATTTGATTCGCTTTTTGTTGAGCTCTCGTGAGAAATCCTAAAGATGGAGCTCCGATGATTTGAGTTTTGGGATGATCTTCGGTCCATTTTATTAATGGTGGGTAGTTTGGATCATACATTGGGTCTAATTCGGCATTAATATCTTCGAATTCTGATTGAACGTCGTCGGAATCGTTATTTTCATTGTCCTTCTCCCCCTGGGAATTTTCATGTGACTCAACGTTTGGAATTTGATTCCCCCCTGGATTGAAATATCAATACTGAATTCA